AGGAAGGAGTATTAGGTAAGTTCACCACCTTGACTTATTTATAAAAATAAGGTGGGTTAAAAAAATCTAAAAAAAAATGAGGCTTATTTTAAAATGAAAGGTAAGTTTTTGAATCCTAACAAATTTATATTTCTGGCAGAGATAGCTAAATATTTCTTTGCCTTTGTTGTGTGTCTTGGTGACTAGTGTGCTAACCCAAGCTGTAGATTTGGAGACTAGGTCATGCCGTTTAATCATTTACTTTGGACCAATTTTTGCATTTTTTTCATGGAAATAGAAATATTTTACATAAATCTGTGTTTAAATTAAACATTCTTAAACGATTGGGCAACTTCTTTAAGGACATTTATTCTGGTTCATATAAATAATTGATCAGCCAAGTTAATTTATGTCTGCCTGACTTGGTCAAACTTAATTAACTGTCCAGGAATAAAGCTGGTTATACCTGTTAGCTTGAATCACTCAGAAATGTGAAAAATAGGAGGCATTGTTTTGACACAAATTTTGCCTCAGTCTTTCCTTCAAAAGATTTATTGTATCTATACCAATAGTTCAGAATTTGCATTTTTTAATAAGAATCTTTAGAAAACAGAACAAAACAGGAAGATGCTCATGAAATTTCACATACATTTGACAGGGAAATCCCATGCCAGGGAAGGAAAAAAAAAAGTGTTTCAGTGAAAAATAATCCATTCTGGACTATGTTTCTCTCTTCTTCTTTGACAACCAAGGCATAAAATGTATTAAAGAAAACATCAATTCTTTCCTCCCCATCCTGTTCACTCTCTAGCATATTTATTTTTGTCACAGCAGATGACAGCACTTAGCCAAATTTGGCTGATCTCAAAAACGTTAGTAGTATCTGATTTCATTAATATTTGGATGGGAGACCATCAGAAAAACCCAGGGCTGTAGGCTACATTTCAAAATCAACATATCTCAGAAAAATACAGAAGTGGCAAATCACTTCTGTATTGTTGCCAAGAAAAAAAATGTAGTTCGACTTGAGAGAAACATTACTTTTTACCTGTATTATACATGTACCCAGTATTATTAGTAATTTCACAAATTGTTCCCTCGCCTGACTTTTTTTTTTAAGTTTTAAAATCCTTCTTACAGTGTCAGTCATCATTCACTTTTGGGTGAAACTTGCAGCTGAGCATGCATTGGACTATAAAGGTTTTGCAGTGTTGCATATACATGTGTTCTTATGGTGTAACCTTCGGTTAACAGATATTACTATCAGTTCTGTTTTTGTTGACAATCTGATGGGCGGGGCAGGGAGCGGACTGTGATTGCTTACCTAAAGAGCACTCACCTATACTTCAACTGTTATTGAAATTCCTCATTTGTACTTTTTTCTGGTGGACATTTTGGTAGCCTTATGTGAAGAGAATCATAGTATGCACACTTGAACATATTATCTAAAAAAAAATCCAACAGTACTCTGAAAGTAAAAGGTCTACAATTAAAAGAGGTAATTTAAATCCCAAGCTATTTTGTGTTTTTGAGTAATGTGGAAATTCCAGGATGTGATTCAAGCAAGAGTTCATAAACCTGTTGAACATACTGTACCTTGAAAATTATTCTGTGATTGTCAGTAGATCCCTTGCTGGTTGTATGGGGTTGTGTCTAGAGAGGTCCCTTGCTTCCATTTTGCTGGTCTTGAGGGAACAACTATACCGTGGCTTCTTCCCCTGCTTGAGGGAGGGGGCTATACTATGGATATCTAGGAAGATCATGCATTGGGGTTCATCTGCAAACAAGAATCTCTGTTTTCAGATGTAGCGAGATGCTCCTGTGCAAGATAATAGTCAAGAATTTCAACAATTAGTTAGGGTGCATAAGAAAGAACTATATCATATCACCTCCTGTGCTAGTAATGTGCTGGTAGAAATGGGCTGAAGAAGCTTTATTCTTCTTTAATAGTAAACCCAAAGTAGTTCTGTATCAAAGCCCTTACTGAAGTTCTTCTCAGGCAAGTCTATGTAATCCATAACTTCTTGAATGTTCATTAATAATCCAAATGTTCCAGATTAGTTACATGTAAATGTCTTAATTTTCTCAAAAGAGTAACAAACACTCATCATTGTAAAAGAAAATTATTTCAGTTGGCAATCAGATACCTTTTATTTTGCTGATGAAGAAAGTAGTTTTCTCTAGGATTCCAACAAAGAACTGCATTTGGGATTGGATGGTACTTCAGCCTATCATAAGTGAATTCTTCTACCTTTTTTATTAACCTCTGTAACCTTTCTCAGGTTTGTCCCACTGTCATCCATCTTCTGAAGCAGAGTGCCAGTTATGTTTAAAAACTTAAAAATCTGACCATAATATATTATTAAAACTGTCTTATACAATTCAAGTAAAATGGTGAAGTATTATTAAAGCAATTGAATGGTAAATCTGAATGTATTTGTGATTGCATGTGTGTTTCTGAATTCACTCAGAAAGAAAAGGACCTTGTTGAGCAAATACTGCTGAATTTAGATCAATAATGTGTTTTTAAAATGTTACAGATTTTCCTACAGATCAGTGTAAAACTGATGCCTGAACTATTAATGAAAATACAAATCATATGAAGGGAGAGGGCAAATATTTACAATTGTAGCAAGCTTTAAAACAAGAGAAGTGTTTTACCAACTACTTTATTTTTTCTTTCTTCCATTAAATTATTCCAGGTTTTTGAGTCATGATGCAAGAATCTGGAACTGAGACAAAAAGTAACGGTTCAGCCCTTCAGAATGGAGCAAGCACTGGCAACCCCTTACTAGAATGCACCCTACGTGAAGTGAGACCAAACGGAGAGACACCTTCGGTGGAAATCGGTGCTGCAGATCTTGCTCATCTTCAGCAACAGCAGGTACTATAAAATATTCTACCAATATTTTACCAACTTTGAAGGGTTTTTATGTACAAAAGTAAAGGTTGAAGGAATTCTTTGTGTCATAAAAGCACTGTGGTATTTTCCAGCAAATAAATGCTTTAAAGCTTGTATTTATATGATATTAAATGTTTTGCATTCTGTGGAAGTAAGATAGAACGAACTAACTAACTTACTTACTTATTTACTTTGGAAGTAAGGTAGAAGTAATATAGAGAAGGAGCTGTATCATATCAACTCCTGTGCTACTAGTGAACTGGTAGAAACGACCCTAAGAAGCTTTCTCTGCTTTAATAGTGAACCCCAAACCACTGCTATATCAGAGGCCGAACAAAGCTCTTCTCTTACCGAGGTTCTTCTCAAGTAAGATAGCATGATTGATAACTTCACGACTCTTCAGTAATAATCCAGATGTTCCAGACATGTTCTTATTTTTCCCCAAAGTGTAGCACTGATCATGGTAAAAGGGAATAATTGCAGTTTGACTTATGTTATCATTCTGTATTGGTAATCGGGTTGTATTTATTTTGCTAATGAAGAAAGTGGTTTCCTCTAAGATTCCAACAAGTTACATAGTGCTACATGTGGTCTATGGGCAATTCTTTAATCCCTCATGACTGAAAATTTGCATTAATTGATCTCCAACAATTAAATTATATTTATTGCTGGATGTCCCATTTATTTTCTGTGACTGAACAAAACAGTTTTTAATATATTTGAATATTTGTTTATGTAAGAATAGGGTAATAAGGATCAGATTAACTACAATATCAATACAAGATTAACACAGAGACACTTTTAATTTAATAAGTTCTGCTGAAAAGTATTGGCACTGCGGAACATGGGAATTCATATAATATGAAATATCTTTGAAAGGATGCAAATATTAATTGTATTTTTTAAAAACATCCTTATTCTGGAGTTTGGAATATTCTTGAAGACTTTTAAGTATGCCTTTGACAGCTGTGGATAGTATGCATGATGATCTTGTCAGCAGATTGTTGTATGGTAGAAAAAAAATAACAAACTTTGCTATTTTTTTTTCCTGGAAAAAACATTTAACATAAATCCACTACATTTTAGAGGCTTGAGATTTTCATGATGCTAAATGCAATGCAAAGTCATTTTCTTCTTGTAGTTTTTTTTTTTTTAGGTTGAGAATGCAATCATTAAAAATATCACAAGCATGCTGAATTCCTTATTGCAGTAGTCACACAAAACCATGGATAAAATTTCAATAAGTGCAGGCCACAGTAGAGTAAACAGTTGCACTGAAATTTAATTCCTGTTGACTTTTCCGTCATTCTTGGCCAGGGGCACATTCTGAATTGTATTGCAAAGACAACAGGGGTTACAGCTTTGATTAATCTAGGACACTGGAAGAGAATTAGAAGAGTAAAATATGTTGGAACTATTCAGGACACCAAAGCTTTCTTTCTAAGAGGCTTGAGATTAAAATAAACAAACTCTGATGTATAATTATACAGCTTTCCATTCCAGCTTGTTATTTTCCCATCTTTTTTTGCTGGTGTTATTTTGCTTATATGTAGCATCCTACAAAATAAAAGTACAAAGCCTACTTATTCCCCTTTGGATAAACAATATTAGAAGCACAGAAAAGGATTAAGAAATGGTTAGCTGAAGCAATTAAGGGAAAGAAAAAGAAGAAGAAAGAAACATAGCTTAATCTAGTTTACAGCAACATCATTCACTATACCTCTCTGTACTTTTTTATCTTTGCAAGCCATCCTTGCTCCTACTCCATCCATACACCACTTTGTACATTGTCTTTTGTTCTTTATATTTCTCAACTCTCTCTTTTTCAGAATCTCATCAGCTCCATCCAACCATGACTTTCTTGGTTCACCCCCTCTTGACCCATTCACTCTCCCTTCATATATTTGTTTTGTGATTTGATCCCCATTTGTTCTCTCTACATCACCAACCTGCTCAATATACTTCTTTCATACTGGTCACTCACTTTTGTATTCACATTCATCCAGAACTCATTCATTCCTGACCCTATCTTTTTCTTGTTTTCCATACACGCTTCTTAAGTACCCCATTCCCACTGCATTCAGTTGCCTGACATACTCCTCTCTCACATCCATGTAACAAACTGGGCAGAGGCACACTGCTATACATAGCCATTTTCACTTACTTTGGCAAAGATTAATTTCTTGCAGCAGACTACATACTAAACACATCACACACCCATTGTCCTACTCCCTTCACTATTAGACCATTCACTAAGAATGCAATTCATTGTTCTGCATGTTTTAATTCCATTATATATGGCTTTTATCACATTCAGCAACCAATCTTCAACTCGACATTTATGCAAAACATTCTGTAATTCAGGCCTATTTACTCTACCATATGTTTTCTCCAAATCAGTGAATGTGCAATAAAATTTCTTTCTCATTTTTATACATTTCTTACTGATTTGCTGAAGGAGAAATATCTGGTCTATATACCCCCTGCCTGGCATAAAACCTGGCATAAAACTGTACTCCCCTTCCCAATTTTGGCCCATTCTTACGTCTCATATTATTTCAGTTAGGATTCTATCACTTCTGAGGTCCATTTAATAAACTAATCCCCCAAAGGTTTTGTGTTCACTCCTGCTATATTTCTCTTTATGTAGGGAACAGTAATAGCATTCTTCTAGTCCTCAGGCACAGATTCAGTCTTCACCATACATTTAACAAGTAGCACGAATCTATATTTTAACATTTCTCCAATTCCACCATCTATATTTTGTTAGCATTTTCATGGCATTTACAACTTCCTTTTCAATGATTTTTCTTAGACACTAGGATTTATATATTTATTTCAGTTCCTTTCTTTAACTTATTGTGATTGTTTCTATACAGCTCTCCCTGACCATCCCAGCAGGTCAGGTAGGGTAGTCACATTCCAGGTCCCTTTCCTTAAATGTTGTCAAGGAACCTAGGAAGCACACCTTCTCTGTAGCTACTCCTGCCCTGTGGAACACCCTTTTCCCTGAGGTCCTACTCCCTTGGCCTTCTGGAAGGCCTTGAAGAGCTAGCTCTTCCCACAAGCTTTGGGGTAGAATGAGGCTGGAGCCCAGCAGTACGAAAGACTGATGTGTGGGGGAGCGTTGCCTGGGGTTCCAGGAGGTTTTATTGCAATTGTTTTGTTTTTGTTTTATGTTTTTATTGTTGTCAGCCCTACGAGGCAGGCCAGACTAAGAAACCAGTGCCATGTCAGCCAGGACTACTTTTATTGTAACAGCTATGGTAACAGAATTTTGGAAGTCTGAATGTGCACCCCCCCCCCTGCTGCTTTATCTTCGTGTGAACTAGGGAGGAGCTTGTCTGAGACATATTCTCATATTAACGTCTTGGAACAGGCTCAGGCCCCGCTTATCTGACCATTGCCTTGGTAGCAGCTCTTTCCCTGTCCTTCAGAGCCATTCCCTGTGCCCTCTACAATGGTTTTGTGAGCCACCCAGGGATTGCAGTTCATAATATGGGTGGCTATAGAAGTCTTTAAAAAAAAAAAAAAACTCCTTCCAACATGCCATCACTTCAGTTTCATCCCAAATCAGTTAATCACTTTTATTTCTAATTCCATTCACTCTGAGGCTTTTTGTTCAGCCTTCTTCACCCACTTCATAAACCATTTTTATCTCCCTTGAAATCACTTTGCATTTTTTCTTAATCTTAACTGCTCCTTACTTTATTTGACTACATTTGTTTACAACTCTGTTTCTGTCTGTGCACATGTGATATGATATCCATCTCTCATCCTCATTTTTGAAGCAGTCATATGCAATTGTTTTTCTCATCTGCAGCCTTTTGCACTTGAACTGTCGTTTTCACACATCTTAAAGTTCCTCAACAATTGATCCAAGAGGTTAATGTTCTGAAGCTACTGTAGGAGAAGTAGTGCTGTGTTTCAAAGGAAAAAACTCTTGGGATTTGTCCTGCCCCCTTTTTAGTTCCTGCCAAAATTGCCAGATATGCTGCTTTCTATATATGCTGGAAACAAGAATTCACAACTGTAATGAATTATCAGTTACAAAAATTTAACAGAAAAATGCACACGTAAGTGTTCAGTTTTTTCCCCCAGGTCTGTGTTTCATGTAAATCACTTGTCATTTTGCAAATCTGCTACTCGTTTTCTTTTATCATAGTGTTTTTCTTAGGTGACAAATGTTTGGTAGATAAAATAGTATATTTGTATTATAGCCATCTGAATTTTTATTGTGCTTTTAAAAGTAGAGTAAGAGCTAAGGAAGCCTCAGACCCCATATCACCATGTTTTGGGTGTTGTGGTTTCCAGATCTTTTAAGCACTGTTACATTTTGCAAAGAAAAAAAAAAGTTGATTTCAAAAGCTAATGCAGGCATACCACACACAGCATATTGTTTAGTTATTTCTCCCTATACAACATATGCTCTCAGGTCACCTAACAGAATGCTTGATGTAAAATACTCATTCAATAAATCTGAATGGCTGTTAAATAAAACTGCTGTTTCCTGACAGCATTACAATATAAATTCTTTTTGACAACTGTATTGCATTGCCTGATGTATGCGAAAAAGATGCTTTGCTGCTATATAAAGAACCATGATGAGTGTTTTGGTGTCTGCTTTGTGAAGTCATATGTAGAGGATCTCTGCCTTACCAGAATGAGTTTCAGGCATGTTTTAGGACTTCAGACACAGAACTCATGTTTCCCCTTTCTACGTGAATGGAGATGAATACATTAAGGAAAGGATGAACACTCAGTTATTGTCTAAGCATCATCTAAGCAGCAGCTAAGCATGATGATTTTCAGCAACTTGTGATTCTACTTTGTAGTCCTCTATTGTGCATAAGCCAAATAAATAAGCTCCTTCTATTATTTGTTGCCATGTAGAGTTAATAACACGGTGGAACTCCCTTTGAGGGAGGTATAGTTGACTGCAATAAGCCTGTTATGTTCGGTCAAGCTTGTAATGATCTTAA